AAACAAAGCCCCCCAAAACAAAAAAGTCTAAAAAAAAAAAAAAAAAAAAAAAAACTAGTAATTGTATTTCTTCAGGTTTCAAGTGAGAACTTTACCAGTCTTCGCAAGGTGTTTAAAGAGGTCGGCTAACGCTCGCTGCTTCTGCATGAGAATGTGCTTGGCTTCTGACCGCTGTTTCTCCTTCTCTGCTGAGGGCTCCACATTTAAGCTCTGCAGCTCATTCACAGTGGAAATCACTTCACCTAAGGGAAAACAAGACAGAAATACAAAAATCCCAGGGACTTATTAATGTGTTTAAGTTACACAATTCCAGGGAACTTTAAGGGAAAGCAAGGACCAGGGACCATTCACCTTCATATGCTGGACCCCTAACACAGTCCCTAGCATTTGGTACTGCTCAAGCAGTATTCAAACTAAACTGGTCAAGATGCATGGAAACAGAAAAATAAGAACAGTGGATTTAATATCACTTAACAATAAACAACAACAACAATGAAAAATGGTCACTCTTTCTTAATTAGGGACTTTATAATCAATCAAGTAAAAAACACTTACTGAATACCAACTATGTGCAGTGTAGCAGATTAGAAACTTTGAACACTTGAGAGAAAATTCTGATAAATGTAGTATGTGCCGAGTTCCTAAACCCCAAAAGGTGGCATGATTGTTAAGGTACTGGACTCCCACACGGCCAACTGCGGTTCGAGTCCCAGACCTGGTGGCTTGCTTTCTCACTTTCACTTTCTCTCTCCCTCATGACTATATGTGCCCTATAGCAAATTTAAAAATAGTAATAATAACAAAGTAAATAATTATTTTTTAAAAACCTTAAGCCCCATTAGCTTAGAATGTCACCATATTTGTAGATAGGGCTTTTAAAAAGGTAATTAAAGTAAAATGAGGGTGGGCTTGATCTAGTAGAACTGGAATCATTAAAAGAATGAAGGGAGAAGGGATTGCAGCGTGGCCATCCCCCCTGGGGGGTGATTTCTAGCTTTCTATCTCTGTCTCTTTCTGTCTGTCTGGCAAGTGCACGTGCCCTATAGCAAAAACCTCCCCCCCTCCCCCCCAAAAAAAGACACAGAGGGTGACTGTGTGAAGACACAACATGAAGGTGGCCATCTGCAAGCCAAGGAGAGAAGCCTCAGAAGAAATTAAACTTTCAGCCTCTAAAACAGACCATAAATTCTGGGCGTCTCGGCTCTCCATCTGTGGTATGTGACTAAGGGAACCCCCACTGCCAAACCTAGGCCGTCATCAGATGAGTGCCAAGTGCGTGGTGCACATACAGACGCCATAGAGGAGTCAGAGAGGAGGAAAAGCTGAATATCACGGAGCACGTACCTTTCCTAGGAGATGCACAGGGTTCACTCAGGACAGCTTCAAGTATCTTTATGAATTTAAAGAGGCTCCTAACTCCAGGTGATGACAATGATCGGGGCAGGAGCAGGCTACCTTGAGCTATGGACAGCAGGCTATTCTCCTAACAAGTTTTAAATATTAAGAGCTCCCAAGCTCAGACTGAAGGCGTTTTAAAGAAAGGCCAGCCTACTCCGATATCACTCACTGGGAGGAAGAAGGAGGGCATAGTAAAAGGCTGCTACGGGAGTACGGTCTATTAAAGTCTAGATTTCCCTCCCCGGCCACTGCTCTGGAACACCACAGCACAGGTCAGGCTCTCACTTTCCCTGAGCAAGGACAGCCAGGGGTGTGACACTGCCACACTTCTCCGAAGTGAAGACGACAACTATAGAGAATCATCCTTCTCCTTTCCCTCAAGTGAAACAACACTGTGAGAAGTGGGGACAGCTAAGAGACTAGGAAATCCATCTCTGTGCCCCTTTACCCATGAGTCCAACCAACAGGAACCAGTGTACACAAGGTTCTCGTAGACAACGGCCTAACACTGCTGATGGACATGAGTGGAGGACAAGATATAAACTATGGTAACAGTTTACACCTTCTCAGTTGGCTCAGTTCTGGGCTCTGCTGCTTTTTAGCCTGCTTACTTACTCAGGTAACTGTTCGGCACTCTACGAAACATCAAAATAGGATGTAGGTACCACATCCCCAGCACTCCTGGGCCACCCAGGGGAAAGGAGAGTAAGTCCCACCCTCACACCTGGCTGAGGTACCCACCAGTGAACTGATCGAGGCCCTCCACTAGGTGAGGCAGAGGGCTTTCCTTCATGAATGTCCGGCACATCTTCCTCATTCGTTTCAAGAGCTTTGGCAATCGACGCAAAAGGTCCCCCTCCAAGGACAAAGTAGCAGTACTCTGACACTGTTCGGGAATCGTGGACTATGAGACAGAATATGGGTTAGTCTCATTGCCTAGAACAACTGCAATAGTTTTAACCCTCACAGATGCTAAATTTACACGCTGCTCACACATGTGGGCACAGACACACACACACACAGAGAATTCAGCAAATACTAAATTTCATCACGTCTGAAGAGGAGAGGAAATGTAGAGCCACTAAAATGACAATAGGCATGTGCTGTGGGTTTTTTTAAAACTGCATTATTGCTCCACACAAGATCACTGTAACATAGGGGCCTCCCCGTAAACCCTTCCCCAACTCAGCAGTGCTTTCTATGACAGCCAACGGTCACGAGGAGACTCCAGCTCTAATCTGTGAGCATAGCAGAATGAATAATGTAGCCACTGTCCTCAGGGCAATGAGCCACACTGCGCTTTCCAGAACCCACAAGACAAACGGATCCACCAAATCCTACTTCTGTCCTCCTATTCCTGACTGACTGTTAAATATCAGAAATCCAGGTATGTAGATAAAGGGAAGAACTTTCATCTATCGGAAGTGTATTTCTTATCCCCAAAATAAAGTTCTGGAATTCCTGTGCTGTCATCATTAGTGTATCAAAATATTTTTTCAGAATGACAGAAGCAATGAGCTGAGAGGAATAAATAAAAAGAAATTAAATTTGGCAGTCATATCTATGCAGCCTTATAGATACATATTCAACTTACATTATGTTTTTAGAACTATTAAAATTATGAAAAATAAACCATGGACCTCCATTACTAAAATATGAACCCCAGAGTAGAAGATGTAATAAAAAGGCAATAGTGATTACTCTTTTGAGGAGTGCTCCCTGTTCCTAAAGCTCCACACCCGAAAAAATGAAGCAGGAACACCCATCTTTAAACGGGTCTGCTCACTTGAGGAAGTTTGTGAGCCAACTCTTAATTGTTGATGTTTGAAATTGGCATGATGGGAATATTTACACCATGATACTTAGGAACCACTACAAAACATGTATGCAGTAATGTGACTGCATACATTCACCCCTGTGTAACAGCAGCCTCATGTGCTAGCACAAAGGCAGCTTCAGTGACACATTCTTCAAATACTTCGAATCTTCCTTCAAAGGTAATAAAATGTCTGCAAGTAAGTAGCTATTTCCTACAAGCTAACATTAAACTTTTTAGCAGCGGATCAATGTTTTCTTACCTTACTGTATAACACTGTCAGACAAAACAAGCACATGATATGTATGTCCAAAGAACATGATATCATAGGCATTTTTATGTCTAATTCGCAGGGCACCCCTAGATCCTACCTGACTGGCTCAGGAACAAGCAAGCATTATCCCATAAACTAGTACCTGCCCTGGTGCTGGCCGTGCCAACAAGGTCTCCCTTAGTGCTCTGTTCAGACTCTGAATAGGGGACGTCTCGCTCGCAGCTGCATCTGTTGGTAAGAAGTCAAGCTGTTCTTCTTTGTCACTCTCCACCAAGGATGACCGGCAGGGTTCACTTAGGACAGCTTCAAATTTCTTCATGAATTTAAAGAGGGTCCTAACCCCAGGTAATGACAGGTAAGAAAAAGAAGTTAGAATACAAAGTGAGGAAATATTAAAGAAATGCTTCTAATGTATATACACATAACTTAATAACCTGTATCTTTTGTATACAATGATCTCCTTAGATAGCCATAATCATTTTGTCTAAGACAAAAGGTATGGCCGACACTGTCACCGCCCCTCCCCTTTTTAGAGGAGAAAACCAGAGCCAGGTGGGTGAGAATGCTTTGGTCAAGGTTAAACAGCTGGCAGTTGGCAGAAGACTCAGCCCTCTGGAGCACAATCTTGCCTTGCCTCAAGGTATGCTAACTTCTACAGGCAGACTTTGCAGGGACAGTGTTGGGAAGGCACACCAAAACAAACTAGTGGGTTTCTTTTAGAAGTTCAAATAATTTGTACTAAGTCAGGTCATGATAACAATGCAGTCTTGCTGACTGCCACACAGAATTTGGAGCTTAGGTCACCCAGTTGTAAAGACTGAATAATTACCTGTGTGTCTTTTCTACAGATTGTTTAATGGACCAGAAGCTGACATCATTCCACTTTGATATCTTAACAAATTCCTGTAAGACAAAAGAAGCTCAAGGAATGGCTTTATAACGCTAAATGTCATTCTTTTTCTTTATAGGTCATCTGTTTGCCTAAGTCCAGAGCCCACTCCACCCCAAACCCAAGACTGTGTGTTGAACAAGTCAAACAAGCCTATAAGAACCAGGCATTTGTCCCAAAGCAATGCAAGAGTGCTGTTGCTAGAATCAACAGTTCACTTGATACCTAACCCGGCCTAGAAACCATCACAGCGGCTGCATCCTTTATTTCAGATTGGTGCCATAACCACTCCAATATAAAACACGGAGGCCCCAGGTACCTGGACAGACAACACGGTGCACTTTGACGGCAGGCAAGGCCAGGGGAGCACAGACAGACCTCTGTGACGATCCTCCTGCAGGGCCTCTGACAGGGGCCCACCCCAGCCCCTCAGCATGGCTGAGTCAGCAATGGAGCCAGTGCACAAAACACAAACCTTCCAACCCAGTGAAGACTACTTGGCAGCTGCAGTGCTCCCCTCTATTCCCTTAGCCCTGGCTTAACTGTTAAACAGACAAAAGAATAGAACTGGAGGAAAAGAATATGTTCATTTCGTTCTCCCCAAAATTGATTACGATAGCTGTTCATCTTACTTTAAGTTCTTTTTCTAAGGGGGTACGAAGTTCCACAATTTTGGCCTGGACTCGGTCGAAGAATTGCTTGTAATAATTGTACAAATTCCATAGAACACTGCAAAGTGAATCTGGAAGAAATGGAAAGAAAACAAAGATATCACCCTTGCTATGTACGCTACTGCTCACCTGTGGGCTTCACATCTCAGTGCTCAGACTTCCTCATTATTCTTCACGCTATGAGACTGCAGCCCATTTCACAGGGGATTATTTAACAGCTCACAGGGCACTTGTGTGTGCTCAGCAGTTCCTAGAGGTACCAGCTATCAGCACGCTCCCATTTCTCATTTCTGCTTGTAGCAGAATTTTTTATTATACTTTTGTTCTTGAAGATGATACACTCAGAGATTCAGCTAAAATCATACTTTCAAACACTTTCTCTGAAGCTTATTTGTAAAGTCAACAGAAACTAGGTAGGCCTCTATTTAAAAAAAAAAAAAAAGGCATATTAAGAAGTTCACCTCAACTGCTCATCCATGTACAATCTACATGCATTTAACCGTGACAGGATTATCCAAATTACTGCGGTCAGCTTATTTGTAAAGTCAACAGAAACATGGTAGGCCTTTAAAAAAAAAAAAAAAAAAAGGCATATTAAGAAGTTCACCTCAACTGCTCATCCATGTACAATCTACATGCATTTAACCGTGACAGGATTATCCAAATTACTGCGGTCAGGGACGGTAACTGACAGTAGGCAGTTTTACGTGCAGTTTCTTGATATATGGCAGTGCTCTCACTATTATTAAAGAACACACTAATGGTCTGGATCGAGCAGCAGCTGTGCAGGACACACACAGTGCCTAGACAGAAAGATAGGCTAACTCTACACATCTTCACCTGGCAACTAACTTCTGCTCAGTTCACTGGTCAGTGATTGTAATCAGTCTGTACTTCACTTCGAATGTCCTTCTCTATATCAAATGTGAATCATTACACTAAAGTTAAGTAGAATAAAACTGCCTAGTTTAAAACCAATGTATGGGGCCAGCAGGTGGCATGGTGGTTAAAGGTGCTGGACTCCCACAAGGCAGACCGGTTCAAATCCTAGACCTGGCAGCTTGCTTTCTCACTTTCCCTCTCTCTCTCCCTTTTTTTTCTTTTTTTTTTCCCCACCCACTCTCTCTGGTCAAGTTGAAAAAAAAAAAAAAAAAAGTAAATAAAGTTAAAAAAAAAAATAGGGGCTGGCAGATGGCATGGTGGTTAAAGGCACTGGACTCCCACATGGCCAATTGTGGTTCAAGTCCTAGACCTGTTTTCTCGCTTTCTCGCTTTCTCACTTTCTCTCTCTCTCTCACTCTGTCTCTCTCTGGTCAAATTAAAATATACAATAAGTAAATAAAGTTAAATACAATAATTCTTAACTGTCTCTCTGTCAAGCACCCACGTCCACAGCAAAAAATCTCTCCCCGCAAAAACAAAAAAACCAACAATAAAAAAAAAAAAATGTACAAAAGGATACCTATCTCAAGAAGAATTCAAAACCTACCTTAACAGCACAATATAACTGTAGAAAGAAAAAATCCTCACCCTTTCCTTCAACTTGTGGCATCAGCAAGACATGACAATGGAAAACCAGGAGCATCTGAAGCCGCACATGGAATTCTCCCAGCGAGGATCCTTCAATAAATGCTTGCAACGTGCTGACCAGCAACATCAGGGTCATCTGTTTGTCATCTAATTTAGGGGTTCAGAGAGGAAAACATATTACGTGCCTTCACCAGAACTCCCTATTCCTAATCAGCATGCAACCCACTACAGGACACAGTGAGGGATGGCGGTCAAGGGGAGACCATGATAAGGACGTGAAAGTAACAGCTACACACAGGGTATGTGCCAAACGCATTCAGAGCTAATTATATTGTAAAACCAAATTATAAGGTGTTTGTTCTAAGTATGAAATAAAACGTATTTAACTCAAACATGTTATCTACTACCTACTACTGAGGCAACTTTCACTCTGACATGTCTCATGGACATAGAGAAGAAGAAACCCTATCATGTGACTGGCTATCTAAACTATGAACAAATCACTTAAAGAATTATACGGCTTTCTTGGCTGACCTCATAGAAATATCATGAAGTCAGATGACTGAGCCCATGTGATACCAGCTAGGGGAAGAGAGAGGAGCAGGTAACTCCTACACTTTGCATCACTTGATTCGGCTGAAGGCAGTGGACCACCGGGCATTACCTTCCTGTTCCTCAGTCTGCTCCTGCATGTGCTTCTCAAGCATCTGATAGATGGAGAACCAGTGCTTGGTGGATTTCTCAGTGTGGCGCTTCATAGTATTATCCAGACTCATGGACCAGCAGCTGAAATACAAGAGAAGAAGCATTTAGGGAAATTCATTCGAAGTCTTATGAGATCACAGAAGCAAAATTAAATAACAACTCTCTCCTCCAAAATGAAGAGGGAGAAGCTGCCCAGTTTGCTGTCTCAAGAGTCACTTACTTCAGCTCCAGTTTACGCCACCGAATGATCATCTGACTGACCAGATCGAGATGTTTCCGCAGAGACAAAGCTCGACTTGCATTCTCCTCCCAATCCTTAAGAACCAAAGAGAAAGTTTACTAATGCCTTAATCACCTACTCCTTTGAGAACACCTTGTACTTTTCTTGAATGAAGAACACAGGCCCCTTAACTTTTACCAAGAGCAACAATGACTATGCATCATGTATAGCTTCACATTCTTTCTTGTCATGTGACAGAACTAAAGCCAAAGTTTAGTAACAGGCAAAAAGTACAAAGTTTATAACCTAGAGTCTGAATCTTTGCTGTTAGCTGTTTGATCTTGAACTAAGTCACATGATCCCTGCCTCTCAAAGTCAAAGGAATCCGCCACCTCAGAGGCTGTGAAAGGACTGAGGTGGCCAACGCACGCAGGCAACTTAGCTGGGCTGAAGAGTCACCTGAACACTTGGCAGAGTGAACCCTCAGTACTAGTGGACACCACATCACATGCGCACAAGAGGCAAAGCAGCTCAACCTCACCACAGGGGTGACAGCTTCTGATGCACTGCCCCACCCTGGGCTGGGAAAACCTGGGAGATTTTCCCTTCCTCTACTCTAATCCAAACTGTAACTTTCTGTCTTTCTAACAACGAAGGTGCCATAAATCTTTCCTTAATTGACTACATCCTAAAAAAGAGAATCATCTTACCTGTGCCTTTGTGAGCAGAATCTCCAAGCCATTCAGGAACTTTGAAATGGGACTGGAAAGTGGGAAACTACGAATTCTGTTCATTACAACCAGCAACTACCAAAAAAAAAAAAAAAAAAAGTTTGGTTATCTCGGCAGAAATACCAGTGACCCAAGGTCACAGGGTATTCTAAAGAGATGCCTGACCAGCTGTTTCACTCAAATTCTCAGCTCCAATATCCCCGATCAAAACTGTGGATGAAAATTGCCAGCCAGGGCTGTGCCTCCTAACCAAGATAAATACTGTAGTTGCTGCATTACTCTAGAAATAAGCTTAAGCCTAACAAGATAATTACTGTTACACTCTCTGCAATAAGTTCTTATAAAACTGCCTGAAGACCACAGAACCATGTCTGAGTTAAGCTGACAATCTTGAACAAGGCCTATCTCTAGTACATTTAAGAAAACCATGGAGCCACCAGATGGTACAGGCATTATGTCACTGGACTCCCACATGGTCGAGTCCTGGACCCGGGTGGCTCAAAAAAAAAATCACACTGGGCGCATATGCACGTATGCCCAAGATCTCAGGAGGAGAAGGGATTGTGGAATGGCCATCCCTCCTGGGGGGTAATTTCTAACTTTCTCTCTCAAAGTCTGTCTCTCCAGCAAGCACACAAGCCCTAAGGCTAAAATCTCTTTAAAAAAAAAAAAAAAAAAAGGAAAGAGAACCAGGAGACCCTTACCTTAGCCCCATAATTATGTAAATAAACACAGCAACCTAACAGCATTTTAACATGAGGACAGCAACCACTGACCAAAACCAGAAATTATCAGAATCCCTGGGAACCAGCAGTTAGCATAATGGCTATGTTGTTGGACTCCCACGTAGTCGACCGCGGTTCACGTCCCGGACCTGGTGGCTTAAAACTCACGCCAGGCACGTGTGCATGCGTGCCTAGGATCCCGAGAGGAGAATGGAGGAGAAGGGATTGCGGCTTGACCATCCCCCCTGGGGGGTGATTTCTCGCTTTCTGTCTCTATGTCTCTCTGTCTGTCTGGCGAGCACACGCGCCCTATAGTGAAAAACCTTTCCCAAAAAAAAGAGATTAACAGAATCCCCAAACATCATTTATCCAACATTCAGGGAGTAGTGACTCTCTTTAAACCTGGTTTATACATACACATATGTGCAAGTGAATGTCCCCTGGAGATGACATGAGGCCACATCCTCAGTATAAAAGAGATATTTTGGGACCAGCAGTTGGTGTAATGACTATGTTGCTGGACTCCCATGTAGTCGACCTTAGTTCGAGTCCCAAACCTGGTGATTTAAACTCACGTTGGGCGCATATGTGTGCATTCCCAAGATCCCAAGAGGAGAATGGAGAAGGGATTGTAGCGTGGCCATCCCCCCTGGGGGTGGGGAGGTGATTTCTCACTTTCTGTCTCTCTCTTTCTGGCGAGTGTACACACTCTATAGCAAAAACCTCTCTCCCTCTAAAAAAGAAAGAAGTACCTTGGGCAGTCCGCCCACCACTGCTAACTGCTGCCTTACCTGTTCAAGTGCTGGGTGTTCTGGCCAATCCTGCAGCAACTGACTGACAGCCTCTGAGAAACCTTGAAGTACAGGTTGACACTGCCGTGCTTCTATGACGTTGGGGTGCTGGTAGAAATCATAAGGCCCACTGGGCTTCACCATCAGGTCTGAGGCCACCTCTCCAAAGAGAGTCTTA